AAAAAAAAAAAAAAAAAGAAAGAAAGGAAGAAAAATAAAATAATTTATTGAGATACCAAAACATAGAATTGTGCTTGCTTTCTGACAGCACGAAATCTGGAGCAAACCCCTGTTTCCTTGGATCCTCCCCCAAAATCACCCAATCAAAAAAGCTTAGATACTATAATAAGGTCTAACACATGTGCTGAGATGCCTTTAGTTCCCCTGGTGTGCATTTTCTCTAACTGTAATGAATAAGCCCAACTTGCTCAACTACAGGTATGTTCCTGGTGGTCTTTGGCTGGAAGGCATTGACACCAGTATCTTCAAAATGTGTCCTAAAGATAGACTCCAGACTTTCAGAACTCCCATTTTTCCCATCTGTTTACCTTCCCTCACCTTTGTCTCAGATTTCTTTCTAGGTCCCCATTTTCTAAAGTAAGAAATCTAAGATCACTGTATATAATAATATGTTTTGAAGTTAAGAGTTTTCCCCTCTGGGACAGGCGCGGTGGCTCACGTCTGTAATCACAGCACTTTGGGAGGCCAAGGCAGGCGGATCACTTGAGGCAAGGAGTTCGAGACCAGCCTGGTCAACATGGTGAAACCCTGTCTCTACTAAGAATACAAAAGTTAGTCAGGCATGGTGGCACATGCTTGTAATCCCAGTTACTGGGGAGGCTGAGGCAGGAGAATCACTTGAACCTGGGAGGCGGAGACTGCCGGTGAGCCAAGATTGTGCCACTACACTCAAGCCTGGGCGACACAGCAAGACTCTGTCTCAAAAACGAAAACAAAAACAAAAAAAAAGAAGAATTTCCACCTCTGTTATGCACTAGTTATGATCTCAGGCAACTTATTTAACCTCTTTATGCTTCCTTTTTCTCTTAATAATACCTCTTCAGACTATTAAATGAATTAATACTATTTATTTTTTTTTTAGATGGAGTCTTGCTCTTGTCGCCCAGGCTGGAGTGCAATGGCATAATTTCAGTTCACTGCAACGTCCGCCTCCTGGGTTCAAGGGTTTCTGCTTCAGCCTCCTGAGTAGCTGCGATTACAGGCGCCCACCACCACGCCCAGCTAATTTTTGTATTTTTAGTAGAGATGGGGTTTCACCATGTTGATCAGGCCGGTCTTGAACTCCCAACCTCGTGATCCACCCGCCTCGGCCTCCCAAAGTACTGGAATTACAGGCATGAGCCACTGTGCCTGGCTAATTAATACTATTTCTAATAAATAAACTGACTGGGCATGATGGCTCATGCCTGTAGTCCTAGCACTTTGGGAGTCTAAGGTGGGGGGATCATTTGAGGTTAGGAGTTTGAGACCAGCCTAGCCAACATGGTGAAACCCCATCTCTATTAAAAACATAAATATTAAGGCCTGGCGCAGTGGCTAATGCCTGTAATCCCAGCACTTTGGGAGGCCGAGGCGGGTGGATGAGACCAGCCTGGGCAGCACAGCGAAAACCCCATTTCTACTAAAATACAAAAAAAAAAAAATGTAGCTGGGCATGGCAGTGGGCACCTGTAGTCCCAGCCACTCGGGAGGCTGAGACAGGAGAATCGCTTGAATCTAGGAGGCAGAAGTTGCAGTGAGCCGAGATCGCACCTCTGCTCCAACCTGGGCTACAGATGGAGACTCCGTCTCCAAAAAAAAAAAAAATTAGCTAGCCATAGTGGTGTGTGCCTGTAGTCCCAGCTACTTGGGAGGCTGAGACGGGAGAATTGCTTGAACCTGGGAGGTGGAGGTTGCAGTGAGCTGAGATTGCGCCACTGCACTCCAGCTTGGGCATGGTGCAAGGCTTCATCTCAAAAAAAAAAGAATTAATCTGACGTGGTGGTGCAAGCTGGTAATCGCAGCTACTCAGGAGGCTGAGGCAGGAGAATCGCTTGAACCCAGTAGGCAGAGGTTGCAGTGAGCCGAGATCACACCACTGCACTCCAACCCAAACAGAGTGAGACTGTCTCAAAAAAAAATAAAAATAGGCCAGGCGCGGTGGCTCACAGCTGTAATCAAGCACTTTGGGAGGCCGAAGCAGGTGGATCACCTGAGGTCAGGAGTTCCAGACCAGCCTGACCAATATGGAGAAACCCTGTCTATACTAAAAATACAAAATTAGCTGGGCATGGTGGCGCATGCCTGTAATCCCAGCTACTCAGGAGGCTGAGGCAGGAGAATCACTTGAATCCTGGAGGCCAAGGGTGCGGTGAGCTGACATCACGCCATTGCACTCTAGCCTGGACAACAAGAGCGAAACTCCATCTCAAAAAAAAAAAAAAAACAAAAACTCAAAAATAAATAAATAAATAAATAGGTAGCACTTACAACACGCCTGCATGGCTGAATATGATCTTTCGTTTTGTTTTGCAAATAAAGACCCCTTCTTTTGCTTGCCCCTGCAGCCTTCTTTCCTCTGAGATTTTGACCATGCCTTTGGTCTCCATCCCCTCTTTTGTGACCAGCAGAGGAACTGTCCAGTCTCTTATTCTGTGGGCTGAAATAGTATCACCCAAGCTATTCATGATGCTCTGTGGCCTGTGGTCACAATCTGTCGACATGTTTGGCAAAAAAATTGACTAAAGAAATATTGCATCAAAAATTATTTTTGGGTCTGGCACAGTGGTTCACATCTGTAAACCCAGCACTTTGGGAGGCCGAGGTGGGTGCATCATCTGAGGTCAGGAGTTCAAAGTTCAAGACCAACCTGGCCAACACGGCGAATCCCCATCTCTACTAAAAATACAAAATTAGCTGGGCATGGTGACGCATGCCTATAATCATAGCTACGTGGGAGGCTGAGGCAGGAGAATTGCTTGAATCTGGGAGGTAGAGGTTGCAGTGAGCCGAGATGACACCACTGCATTCCAGCCTGGGCAACAGAGCAAGACTGCGTCTCAAAAAAAAAAAAAATTAAGGAGTACCTTTTGATCTCATCCTGTTGCTTCCAAGAAAGCTCCTTCACCAACATGTGATCTTCACGAAGTCGAAAGAAACTGTCCTCCAATTCCTCCCGGTTCATCCTACTCAAGTGTGGTTGAGTTTTCATATTCTTACCTAAAGTCCCAGAAGACAGTAAATGGACAGTATTTTTACATGTATTTTTTTAACCTTTTAGATCTCTCATCACATCTTCTCTGGAGAGCATAAATCTATCTTTAGTCAAGTATTTATAAGGAAATTCAGGAAGTATGAGAAATGACTCCAGGCCAGGTGCGGTGGCTCACACCTGTAATCCCAGCACTTTGGGAAGCTGAGGCGGGCAGATCATGACCAACGTGGTGAAACCCCGTCTCTACTAAAAATACAAAATTAGCCGGGCGTGGTGGCACGTGCCTGTAATCCCAGCTACTCAGGAGGTTGAGGCAGGAGAATTGCTTGAGCCTGGGAGGCGGAGGTTGCCATGAGCCGAGATCGTGCCACTATATTCCACCCTGGGTGACAGAGCAAGACGCTGTCTTGGGGAAAAAAAAAAAAAAAAAAAAAACAGAAATGGCTCCTACTGGGTCCCTAGAGACTATTTTCTATATTATTACAGCATGAGGTATGACTCTACCTTCCATCTAGAAAGTACATTTTCTAGATAAAAATATATCCAATTAGGCTTTTATTCTACTTAATTTTTCTTTTTAGTTCCTTTTTTTTTTTTTTTTTTTTGAGACAGGGTCTCTCTCTCTCACCCAGTCTAGAGTACAGTGGCGTGATCTTGGCTCACTGCAACCTCTGCCTCCCAGGTTCAAGTGATTCTCCTGCCTCAGCCTCCAGAGTATCTGGGATTACAGGTGCCCGCCACCACACCCAGCTAATTTTTGCATTTTCAGTAGAGACAGGGTTTCACCATGTTGGCCAGGCTGGTCTCCAACTCCTGACCTCAGGTGATCCACCTGCCTCGGCCTCCCAGAGTGCTGGGATTACAGGCATAAGCCACCGTGCTCAGCCTATTCTAGTTTTTTCTCCTTATTAGATTATTTGGACCCATACAAGGATTGTTCCCATGACTGTCTTTAAAAACCCAGTAAGGAAAAGGATAAAAACTTTTCTTGATTACCAAGAACCATCTCATTTGTTTTTTTGGTCAGGAGAAACTGTCCCCAAAGCTGCCTCCTAGGACAAGAGCCTCTGCTTGCTCTAAGCAGAGGAAACGAGAGCACACTTTTCAGTGTGAGTGTTCACTGGCCCGTGTCTGCTCTGATCTTATGGTAAATGGGAACCATATTGTTTATTTTTTATTTATTTATTTTTTTTGAGACAGAGTTTCGCTCTTTTTGCCCAGGCTGGAGTGCAATGGTGCAATCTCGGCTCACTGCAACCTCTGCCTCCCAGGTTCAAGCAATTCTCCTACCTCAACCTCCAAAGTAGCTGGGATTACAGGCACCTGCTAATTTTTTGTATTTTTAGTAGAGACGGGGTTTCACCATGTTGTCCAGGATGGTCTCGATCTCTTGACCTCGTGATCCACCCGTCTCGGCCTCCCAAAGTGCTGGGATTACAGGTGTGAGCCACTGCGCCTGGCTATTTTTTTTTTTTTTTTTTTTGACGCAAAGTCTCTCACTGTTGCCCAGGCTGGAGTGTAGTGGCACTATCTTGGCTCACTGCAACCTCCGTCTCCCAGGTTCAAGCAATTCTTGTGTCTCAGCCTCTCGAGTAGCTGGGATTACAGGCACGGGCCACCATGGCCAGCTAATTTTTGTATTTTTAGTAGAGATGAGGTTTTACCATGTTGGCCAGGCTGGTCTCGAACTTCTGACCTCAGGTGATCCGCCCGCCTCAGCCCCCCAAAGTGCTGGGATTACAGATGTGAGCCACTGTGCTCGGCCAATTTTTAAATTTTTTATAGTGACAAGGTCCCACCATGTTGCCCCGGCTGGGCTCAAGTGATCCTCCTGCCTGGGCCTCCCAATGTGCTGAGATTACAGGCATAAGCCACTGGCCAGATTAATTTTTGAATATATGCTATAAAAATATTCCCTTTAATGTGGTTTTATCTATTTGTAATATCAAATTTTTTTTCTCCGAAAACAATGTTTCTGAGGTAAATTCAAGGTGCTTAGAATGAAAAAAAGAAAAAAAAAACACAACTTCCAAACCAAAGAACCTGCAAAATAATGTTGCTAGGTAAACTAGGAAAGTAAGGTCACTAGGAAGAAAATTGTAACATGACTATATGCCTTTATAAAAATCTTTATTTATGACAAATATTTAGGCCGGATGCAGTGGCTCATGCCTGTGATTAAAGACTTTGGGAGGCTATGGTGGGCAGACAGCTTGAGTTCAGGAGTTTGAGACCAGCCTGGGCAAAACAGTGAAATCCCTCTCTACAAAAAAATACAAAAATTGACTGGGCACAGTGGCTCATGCCTGTAATTCCAGCACTTTGAGAGGCTGAGGTGGCTGGATCACGAGTTCAGGAGTTTGAGACCAGCCTGACCAACATGGTGAAACCCCGTCTCTACTAAAAATACAAACACTAGCTGGGCATGGTGACACGCACCTGTAATCCCAGCTACTTGGGAGGCTGAGGCAGGAGAATCGCTTGAACCCAGGAGGCGGAGGT